AGTAAAGCAAAGAGCTCAGATAACTTTTGATCATTGACCTCCTTCCCTCAATGTTCCTGGCAGTGTGTAATTGTCTTTGCCAAATTTCAGTTGCACATATTCATCTCCTTGTCCATGATTTTGTTCTACTCTATGGAGTAATATTACTCCTTATTGTTCTTTTAAAATATATGTTTTCTAAAATTTGTGCTCATTAGGGAATTGAAACATATTCCCCACTTCAGGCATTAGTATCAGCAAACGTATCAAGTCAAGAACAAATTTTAATACTGAATAAATCTCTCTTTTCGACTTTACTAATGTCTTTTAGCTCCAATTTAAAGCTACTCACCAGTGATTGATACAATACTTTCTATTTCACAACCAAGTACTCTATTTCTCCCCTCCAACTGCCAATTTAATGGGCAGTTTTAGTCTATAGATTTGTATATAATTCAAACTGGGTTCATGTTGCAGATTTCACATAGAACAAATTGCAAAAATGTGATGCCAGAGTCACAAATGCAAAAGTAGCTAAATTATTTCATTTGTAATAGTCTGAGCGTGGTGGAGATTTCTGACAGATAATCAAGTTGAAGTTGTTGGTAGTTTGCAGAGCTGACTGGTTTGCATGCAAACTTTTTGTCTCCCTTTTAGGTGATATCAACAATGTTGCGTAGCCTCCATTGAAACACTGTTGTTCCATCCCACTCTGAATTTATAAGGTCCGGTCTGTCATGGTGGGCAGTCTTGTTTCTGGTTTTGTACCGTAGTGGTTTGTAGATGGGTTCTATTTCGACATGTTTGTTAATTGCTTCGGGGGAGGAAAACGAGGTCCCCAGGAATTCTCGTGTTTGTCTTCGTCTCGCTTGTCCTAGTACAGTAACTTTGTCCCAGTTAAATTGATGCCCTTCTATGTCAGCGTGTATTGAAACAAGGGACAGTTGGTTGTGCCGTTTTGTTGCGAGTTGACGTTCACGTATCCTGGTGGCAAGTTTCCTGCTGGTCTGTCCTATGTAGCGTTTCTTGCAGTTGCTGCATGGTATTTTATATGTCACACTTGGGCTGCTCATTGTGGGTATGGGGTTTTTCATCTTGGAGTGTAACTGTTTGCCAATGCCTGGCAAACAAACAACCAACACCAAGAAGGCACTGTACGCTCCAACACACTGGCCACCCTACTCTATGTCAGAAACACATCAGAATTCCCTACAAGACTCCATTGACCTTTTGGAATAAGGATAGCACACAAACCAACAGCCACATTTTGCAGGTTACTCTCAAAGATAAAAGATCCCATACTCACAATGAGCAGCACAAATGTGACATATTAAATACCTTGCAGCAACTGCGAGAAACACTACATAGGACAGACCAGCAGGAAATTCGCCACCAGGATACATGAACACCAACTCACAGCAAAATGGCGTGACCAACTCTCCCTAATTTCAATACCAAACCGGAAACAAGACTGCCCACCATGACAGACCAGACCAGAGACATTCAGAGTGGGATTGAGCTACAGCGTTTCAACGGAGGGCACACAACATTGACAATGTTACCTAGAAGGGAGATGAAACGTTTGCATGAAAACCAGACTGCTCGGCAAACCAACAAACAATTCCAACCTCAACTCGAGCTACAGATCTTGATTAAAACATGAAACCAAGTTGAAGAGATGACAAACACAATATGCTGGAAAATCACAGTATTTTATTAAATATCAGACAAATGAATTTAATTTATAATTTACAGTCTTTGTTTTACCTTTCTCTTTACCAATCATCAGTCAGAATACCCAAGGAAACATTGATAGTGTGGTAGATTTAATCAGAGTATGGCAAAATCTTTTTATCTGGCAGTCTATTTTAGGGAAAACGAAAAGGAGTGAACAATGCTTTAAGTGAAATACTTAATGCCTCTCAGCACTGTGCCAAATTCTGAGAGATGGGCACCTACCTACCTGCACAGACAGAATGACATATGCACATTTTTGTGAAGGTGACAATAAGCATTAAATTTGTGACAGAATTAGTGTAGGAATAATGCAACCTAGTTGTAATCCCCAACTCTCTCTTAATTTGCTCCAGTAAGGGCAATACACTGCCTAACATCATTTGCAGCACAGAAGTAAGACATTTGGCTGATGGGGTCAATGATAATACTGATGTTTCACATAAGCGTTCTCTGGCCCGTATTTGTCCAACACTATATCATGCTATTTCTTTTCTCCTTTGTGTTTAGCCATATTTCCCTTAAATAAATTTATCTTCGAAGTCTCCACAACTGCTTGCAGTATCATGTTCTAAAATCTAACTATTTGCTATTGCTGAAAGAGAGATGTGTTGTTAAAGCTTTTCAACCTGCATTCGAGGACAGATGGAGAAAATGTCTGATTTCCAAGGGAGTAATGATTTATACAGCATGCGTAAAGGGTGCTGATTGCTTGGAAAGTCGACTCTGGCTGGTCGGAGCAGTGCCATGAAGAATACACTTCCTGAATAATCCCAACTGTGCCAGGAATTGCACTATCAAACAATTTAATATTGTCTGTCAGTCAGTCAGTCTCACAGCGTGTCTCATCTACACTTGTTCAAAGCTATAATTCATGTGCACAGTCTTGTAAAAGAAACATGTCAAAACCTGTCCTCATTTTTCAAGGACCACACTTCCCCTCCACAGTGGTCGAAAACGCCCTCAAACGCATCTCTCATGTTTCCCGCAACTCATCCCTCACACCCGCTCCCTGCAATAACAACAAAAACAGAATCCCCCTCGTCCTCACGTACCACCCCACCAAGCTCCGGATCCAACGCATCATCCTCCGCCACCTGCAATCTGACTCTACTACCAAGGACATTTTTCTCTCCCCACCCTTATCTGCCTTCTGGAGGGACCGCTCTCTCCGTGACTCCCTTGTCCGCTCCACATTCCCCACCAGCCCCACCACCCCCGGCAATTTTCCCTGCAACCGCAGGAAGAGCCACACCCGCCCCTACACCTCCCCGCTCACCCCCATCCCAGGCTCCAAGAAAACCTTCCACATTAAACAGATGTTCACCTGTACATCTGCTAATGTGGTATACTGTATCCGCTGTTCCCGATGTGGCCTCCTCTACATCGGGGAAACCAAGCGAAGGCTTGGAGACCGTTTTGTGGAACACCTAAGCTCAGTTTGTGACAAACAACTGCACCTCCCAGTCGCGAAGCACTTCAACTCCCCCTCCCACTCCCACTCCCACTCCTTGGACGACATGTCCATCCTGGGCCTCCTGCAGTGCCACAATGATGCCGCCCAAAGGTTGCAGGAACAGCAACTCATATTTCGCTTGGGAACCCTGCAGCCCAATGGTATCAATGTGGACTTGACAAGCTTCAAAATCTCCCCGACCCCAACCGCATCCCAAAACCAGCCCAGCTCGTCCCCGCTTCCCTTACCTGTCCGTCCTTTCTCCCACCTATCCGCTCCTCCTACCTCAGCCCCCACCCCCACCTCCTACCTACCAGCCTCATCCCCGCCTCCCTGACCTGTCCGTCTTCCCTTGACTGACCAACCCCCACCCTAACTCCCCACCTACACTCACCTTTACTGGTTCCATCCCCGCATCCTTGACCTGTCCGTCTCCTCTCCACCTATCTGCTCCTTTATCCATCTTCCATCCGCCTCCCCCTTTCTCTCTATTTATTTCAGAGTCCCTTTCCCCTCCCCCATTTCTGAAGAAGGGTCCAGACCCGAAACATCAGCTTTCTTGCTCCTCTGATGCTGCTGGGCCTGCTGTTTTCATCCAGCTGTACACCTTATTATCTCAGATTCTCCAGCATCGGCAGTTCCTACTATCTCTAATGTCGAAACATCATACCATTTTTGAACTAAAACAAAAGCTTACAGAACAACAGTGCATTCACCATGGTAACTCCTCAAACAATCAGAATCAATTTATGAACCAATCATGCAGGATTGTTTTTTACTCCCATTGAATCTTGGGCTCTTCCGTCTGTCTCGAGTGCTTGACAACAAATTTCAACAAATGTCTTTTTCAGAACTTAAGTGCAACTTTATGTCTTGCACCCATCACGGTCAACACAAGAATACTAACTTTCAAATCATCACAACAACTTGTACTTTAGGAGAAAAGCTTGCTGACCAGTTGGCAAGTTGACTCTGATTGGTTTAGAATGTCACATGGTTGACAGCATGGTGGGAGAGTTTATATTGTAGCGTACAGGTATCAAAATTACATGGGATGGATGAAATAGACCATATAATCCAAATGTCACCCAATAAGTGTTTCTTCAAGACACCAGACTAAGTTATAATTAACAAGAACATCTGAACTTTTAACTATTTCATTTGAAACATCAGTTCAACATTTCTGAAAGTTAGGATCTGTCGCTCCTTTTACACAAGGAATGAAAGATTCTGACTTACTTCCAATTATAAATATTCTGTTTATGAACATAAAGCTGGTTAATTTATGAGGTTTCTGTGGTGCAGTGGTAGTGCCCCTAAAGCTGGTCTAAATGATCTGGATTCATTGTCCACCTGCTTAAAGTGGTATCATGATGTGTCTGAACAGGCTGATTTAAATAACTATAATTTGTTGAGAGAGAGACAGTGCATAATGCAGAGGGTGCATGCACAATTCAGTTCCCTGTAAGAAAGTGAGTCATAGATTCAAACCTGTAGCCTTCTGCCCATTAGTTAGAAGTCTTCAATAGGCTGTCATGGCACAGTGGTGATGACCCTACTGTTGGGCAAGGTGACCTGGGTTCAAGTCCCATCTGAGTTCTAAGAAAGGGTCACCGAACCCGAAATGTTAATTCTGCTTTCTCTTCACAGATGCTGCCAGACCTGCTGAGCTTTTCCAGTGACTAGTTTTTGTTTCTGATTTACAGCATCCACAGTTCTTTCAGTTTTTATTTTGCATGTGTGCGCATCATTTTAAAGCTATGATTAAGAGATTTACTAAATACTTGACCAACATATGTTTTTGATTTGTTTACACGCTACATCTTTTTACCTTGAAAGCATATTTCCGACTTATGTGATCTTCAGGGTCAACCGGCGAGATTACATAACTAGGCAAAGGAATGCTGCCCAGTACAGTCTCCTCTCTGCTGTCTGTGTAAAACAGAACAAATTGCAATGTTAAAAATTCTTGTTTATACACTTCACACGCTGAAAAACTTGATTACATTTACAATACGGAAACATTTCAGCAATTCATCCAAAATGCAACAATCCGCTTATTTTTATAAAGACAAACTTTCTTTCAGGCAGAAGTATTGGTTTTTAAATTATTAAAATAATAATTTTCTCCAATTAGCTCCTCATATATTGAGATAAGTGACCCATACCACAGTATCATTCCAGAGGTCTGGCAGCCACAAAATACATTACCTACACATAAGTAAAGAGTTAATGGAGGAAAACTATTCTAACATGGAGGCCATCAAAAGCAAGCCAATATTCTTGTCATCATTCAATAATCAATCATACAGTCATATACACTTTGCAACACTTTCTATGTGATAACAATCAGAACCAAGAAACCCAGAACAATTTCCTCTCCCAAAAACAAAGATTACCACCCGTCTCATTAAACAATGTATAAATGTTACATACAACTTAAATAGTTAAGTTCTTTGACATGCACATTCAGATAGGAACCATGAAGTACCAAAGCACAAGTCAAAATTAATTTTCATTGATAAAAACAAACATAATTTAGTGAACTGTAAAAACACATTCTATTAAACACTTGACAGCAACAATTAGATGAATAGTCAGCTTTTATTCCTGACTAAATATTACAATTATTTTGTGTTATCAGCATACTCTCTTCAAGCCATTTGCATGAATTAAGCATTTGCACAGCAATGATAACACAAGGTCTACCCATTAGCTCTGCGATGTCTATTTATCAGACACAGAATTAGCAATCAAACATAATCATGGCACCAGGTTACAACGTTCACATAAAATGAATTGCTGAATCAATTGACAGTACTTGTTCTTCTCTCTCCTCTAATTATCTAATTTCATCCCTTAAAAAGTATTCAAAAATATGGCTGCACAAGTTCAGGCAGACCTGAAGGATTTCTGCTAATATCCACACGTACACATCAAGGATCTGCAATCGATTTGACCATGGGTGCTAAGGTAGTACACTTCAAAAACTAAACCAAGCCTAGTCCCAACCCTTTCCAATGGATAGTTACTGCACATGTGATCAAAAGCAGCAGCCCTGGTTTACTTATCCCTTCTGACCTACAGAACACAGAAGATGATGCATTTCCCCAAGTCACTGGGTAAGTACATACTATCAAATTAATTTGATAAACATTACAAGACTGAAGAGAATCCATGTTGATTGCATGTTTTTCTATTCCCACAAACAGTTTAAGTCACCACTGCATTTGAGCATCATTGTCGACATGTTGTGTGATGATTTACAAGTAATACTCAGGGTTGAATTTTTTGGGGTTGGGACGACTTTTACAAATGGAAGGCAAGACTCAAATGCAAGTCCCATCTCGATTTATGGCCATAACTAAACAGGAGTGGGGTGTGAAATGCACAAGCATAGAACCCTAATCTGCTGGGCAATTTGAAAGTAATACTAAATTTCAAGGGCTTTACTCTTGGTTACAAAGTGTTATACAGATGCTGCTGGACTGCATTCACTGACAGGCCACCTCATGTAGTTTAGAAAAACTATTAACATCTGTTCTTGTAGTTTCAATAAACTTCATTACCAATGTTCAAGGGCTGTAATTACAATTGAGCCTATTATGGATCCTCAACTTCTTATGGATCCTTCACATTTTGATCAACAATTTTAACATGCTATCTTTGATGTGTTTACTAAATAGTTTTGTTTTGTTTTAGCAACAGATTGACAACATTAGCAGATTTATAATTCAAATGGACTTAACGAATGAGTTTTCTTTCTTATATCAAGTATGCATGAGTCTTATCCAGTAGATTGCCTGGAGTTTAACATTTTTCACATCTCCATGGTTGGTGAGGTTTGCCCATTGTGGATGCTAGATTAATGGTTAAGGAGGCAGCACTAAGGGTTCTGATAAGGGGATGCGAGACACCATGTGTGGGGTATGTGGGGAGGGGCGTGAGCAAGGGCTAGAAGGCCTAACAGCCTTTTATAGAAGTAAGTCAAAGTCTCAGAGAATCGAGGCAGGCCTTCTCACCAGCTCGGCTCAGCACGTGACCGTTTCTGTCGCTGCATATCAATTGCCTCCTAAAGGTGGTAGACCTGACTCAGTCACACTCCCTAGAAGGAAAACTGCATTTGACATAACCTGTTATATGGAGGAGAGTTGGAGTTACGAAATTTCTCAACGTGAGTAACCCATTTTGGGAGCAACATTTAGCTCATATTTTCAATGGTGACAATCAGTTAGTTTATAACATATGTTTACCCAATTTGCATTTGAATTCTTCTTACAAGTTGTGAGTGGGTAGTCTGTACTCACCTTTGTAATAGAATAGACAATATTCTGAAAGTGCAAACCATCGGCGTTTCCACAGTCTCATTCCAGAACTGTCCTACAAGTACAAACCAGAAATCACCCATCAAGTCAAGAGTGGGTTTTAAAAAAATACAAAAGTTCTGAAACCTTTGCCATGTAAAAGAGACTACAAGGACAGCTGGAAGTTACAATACAACAAGGTGTAAATGAGAGCTCATATTGCATCAACGTCATAAATCAACTGGCAAGTGACTTCAAGATAGACCACACAATCCAAAATAAGAAAACAAAACTGGAAATACACAACACATCCATCAGCATCTCTACAAGGGAAGACGCGTTAATGTTTGAAGTACAAACTCTTAACTAGAATTATGAGGAAAGCAGTTAACTTAATATACCGAAAAGAGAGGAGATAATCTTACTGATTTGTCAGTCACTGAACAGTTTCAGATACTGCATCACAGTAAAAATAAATTATGACAAGAAAAACTAATGATACCCCATCATCCAATTAGGAGAAATTTACAAACATTTCCTTGCGGCAGGACTGATACACTTTAACAAGCATTATACAATAGTGCAATCAGAGAGTAGTTAGTGTACTTTGTACCATATATTTTGTACAAATTTAAACAAAATGAACAATGGATGAATTGTACGTTAATTTGTAACCCCATTCTTTTCTGTCCAAGCTTTTGTCCATTCTTGATCAGTGAACATCAATGTTTCAAAGCTGCTATAGGTGGCAAGAACCTCAAACTTGCTTAACATAATATTTATTTGCTTCAAGCACTAAAAGAATAATGGACCTATACTGCAAAGAGCTTGGCCTAAGGGAAGAATGCTTAATCAAACAGAAATGTACAAATTCTGCATCGATTCAGCAGTTTTAACAAATACAAATAACAGGCACTTAAAGATTCCTGCCAGGCAATACTCCAGGCCAAATGCAGTAATTAAAAGTTACTTTCACAAAGACCAAAATTTACTGTTTAAAAAGAGAGGTTCATAACACTGCAAGAGAATATTTTTCACAGGTCATATACAAGCTTCAGATAAGCACAGATGTGTGATTAAATACAAAAATCAAGAAGCTGTTGTATAATTTGCACTATCCTCCCAACAGCTTCGCAAATAAGGCATCTTGCAGTGACAGAGATTAATGAAAAAGGTATGAGCCATGGTATTGGAGTAATACATTAGCACGGATAGCGGAATGACTAATTGAAGACAGAGTTGAAATAAGGGAGACATTTTCAGGAGGACTACCTGTAATTAATGGAGTGCCTATATATGTATATTAATAATTTGGATGAGAGAAGCAAGTGTACCATAGCCAAGTTTGTGGATGACACAAAAATAGATGGGAAGCCAAGTGGTGAGGAAGACACAAATTCTGCAGCGGAATATAGACAGGTTAAGTGAGTGGGAAAACTTGACAGGTGGGAATGTGAGAACATGTAAGCTTTTGTATTTTGGCAGGAAGAATAGAGGACCTGACTATGCTTTAAATGGGAAACAAAAACTGCAGAAAGCTGCAGCACCAGAGATTTGGGATGCATCATACTTAAATCTCAAAAAACTAGCATACGAGTTCAGCAAGTAATGGGGAAGGCAAATGGAAAGTTGGCCTTTATTTCAAAGATGTGGAGGTGCCAGTGTTGGACTGGGGTGGACAAGGTCAGAAATGACAACACACCAGGTTATAGTCCAACAGGTTTATTTGAAAACACAAGCTTTCAGAGCATGAGTCATTTCACCTGACAAAGGGGCTACGCTCCAAAAGCTTGCGTCTTCAAATAAACCTGTTGGACCATAACCAAGTGTTGTTTCATTTCTGACTTTATTTCAAAGGGAATGGAGTATGTAAGTTGTGCTAAATCTATACAAGGCACTAGTCAGACCACAGCTGTAATACTGTACTAAAACAGAAATTGCTGGAAAAACTCAGGAGGTTTGGTACCATGTGTTGAGCAATAGCAGCATTAAGAAAGCAGCTGGAATACTGTGAACAGTTTTGGACCCCTTATCTAATGAAAGATAAACTGGCATGTAGGCAATCCAGAGAAGGATAATTAGGCTCATCCCATGTCTGGAAGGACTGTTGTTGAAGTGAGATTGAGTAGATTGGGCTTGTACTGATTGGAATTTTGGAGAATGAGAGGCAACCTTATTGAAACATACAAGATTTCTGGGGAACCTGACAGGGTAGATGCAGAAAGGGTGTTTCCTCCTTGTGCGAGAACCTCCAACCAGAGGGCATAATCTCAGTGTAAGCCGTCACTCTTTTAAGACAGAGATGAGGAGGAACTTCTCTGGTAGTGAATTTCTGGACTGTAGAAGTTAGGTCACAACCTACATTCAAGGCTAACATAAATAGATTTTTAATCAGTTAAGTAATCAAGGGTTATGAGGAAAAGGCTGGAAGTGCTTATATTGATCATACTGATCAATGGGATTGGGGAGGCACACATAATGGGATAAAGGATCTTAAAACCTCTGTTTCATTGGAGCAATCTCTTACTGATGTGAAAAATTGGCCACGATCTCATTGAATGGTGGAGCACTCGATAGGCTGAATAACCTACTTCTATACCTACCTTTTAATGGGCTAAAATGACCTTTTACACTAAAAAGTTACACTGAACAAATTGTTGCTGAAGTCTTTTTTTAAATTGATATCATTTACTTTAGCTTTGTTTTTACCCCAGTTCTGAAGCATTACTGGACCCAAAATATGCACTCTGTTTTTCTCCACAGATGCTGCCAGGCCTGCTGAGATTTTCCAGCAATTTCTGTTTTTGTCTCTTCTGCTCCAGTTTGCTTTTGGTACCTGATCAGACGTGCTTTATTTTAACTTGCACTTTCTCGTTCAGACCCTGAGCTTTTCACTAGTAATGCCCCAATCTGTTCAATGTTGTTTATCTATTCTCACATATTACACATGCTGAATTATTTGCATCTTCCACTTGCAAGCACTCACCATATAAAATGTTTATGGAAAGTAAATGGATAAGGACAGTTTAGTGAATGGCAACTACCATTTGCTCATTATCTGCAATAAATTCTGATCCAATGTTGTGCTGAAAATTGCTGGAGCCCAACAACTCATGCTATAAGGAGTTAGCAAGACTTCACTTTGAAATGCTTTTGCACAGTAACTTCCTTGAACTATGCATTTGTAAAAGCCACATGGCATCTGGGACCTTCATGAATATTGTAATCAACAATACATCAGCTTAACAGAGGAGAACAAAACAAATGAAGGAGTACGAAATTCAGTCAAATGAGGTACAAAAGAAAAAGATAAAGAAAATAAAAGGGAAAAACATTGTGAATCTCTAACAATACTGGACTACCTGCAGGAATGAGACTTAACAATTTAAACTGTTACCTTACTAGAGACACGGATTGGCATTGCAATAATAATGATCACATTGTGATAAGGGTGTTTGTATTAATTATGAAGCCAAACTTTGTTTAGTAGCTTTAAAAAGAACAATTAAATGTACAAATTCAGCAGGTTGTTTAAAGTAACAGTGAGGCTAATGATGAGATCTGCACTTGCAAATAAAACAGCATAGAAGTATAAATGGAGCAGCAAGTTTTTGAGAATCATATCTCATGTGGTATCTTTCAATCCTTAAATTAGGCCGATTTTTCACATCAGTAAAAGGTTGCTCCAATAAAACAGTTTTCAACAACCTTTATCCCATTATGCATGCCCCCCCAATCACATTGATCAATATGAAATATTATAAGCATCAAATCCTCTTCCTGTATATGCTCTTCACCACAAATGGATCTGTTAAACAGCTAATTATAACAATGAGCATGAGCTACTATTGGCTTTGTAAAGGAATCAAGGATTTTAAAAAAGTCTTAATCCAGTCTTAATATGACATTTTCAATTTTGTCCAATATTTATGTTCATGAATTCCTGCAATAAAGCTCAATTTGGAACCAACCCATACAAAATGTCTTGTGCCATGAATCCACTCGATTGTGAAAAGTCACTTGGATTCTGCTCAAACTAGTTTCATTGAGGCAACAAAGAGAAAACTGCAGTGATATCTTGTTGCAGTTGTACCAAAATTGACAGATTAAACAGTGCAATATAAAGCCCTGTAAATACTGGAGGTCAATGGGAAATAATTAACAATTGGCATATCTACTCCAGTAATCAAATTCGTCTTTAAGGTAATGATCAATTTAAATAGCAATCCCAATAGAATCTTGCCAACATCAGTAATAGATTTAAAACCCACTGAGTAAAATCTGTAAAGTCCAGGCCTGGGATTACTTTCTAAAAATCACAATTACTAGACAAAGAAAAATGAAACCTGAAACTAACACAGGTAAATGTTAATGAAATTCAAGTTGCTTGGGTTTTTATTTGCTTGGTTTCTACTAATAGAGTTACTCCTGACAGTGAATAATGAAGCACCTAAATTACCATTGCAAGTAACTTTCAGTTAAGGAGATTATATTGGAATTTACTGGCTCAATAGCTAAACAACTTCATCTCTGCTTCCCAGCTATGCCAAGTAGTAGTAGTAATAAATTGGAAAGATACTAATCTTGGATTAAAAATGTCCCAATTATTTTCCATTATTCTAATTTTCAATAAACTTCTACAATCTCGGGTTTTCACAGGCTAATACCATTTGTTTCTCATCTCTGAGCAAACTGAAGACCAAGTATTCCTGTGAAGTGATAGCTCTAGTGCATTACACTGCACTGCATTATCTGACTGATGGATTAATGGCATGTGAACATGGATACTTTTCCAAATCGTTTAGGTGAGTTCAAGTCTTAGCGACATCCCTACCCTCTGAACGATATTATACAAGAAAGAAGTTTTGCTCTCTTCAAATTGATTTCAACAGATACATCAGCACCTCAAGAATGTCACCATCATACAAAATATTGCCCATCATGCAATTCAGCTGAATTCAGCAAATAAATATAATCCTGATAACTATGACCAATTAACAGGAAATTTTAAATAAATTTTTCTGTTTACTTTTATGCCCGAGTTCCTATCATTCAATATGCAAAATCTCAGTAAGG